TCCTCGGAGTTATTGTTGATGAGAAAATTGACTGGAGAAACCACATACAAGCCATTCACAGTAAAGTCAATAAACAGTGCGGTTTCATGTATCACACTCGACAGTCACTCACTCTCACAGCAATGAAGGAAATCTATCATGATCTTGTTTACCAACACCTGATACACTGTCACACACTATAGGGGGTTTCTGGCTCTTCAAAAACACAATCTCTGGTTACTGCACAAAAGAGAGTTGTACGGACAATGACCTACTTGAAAAAACAGATCACGCAAACGAAAAATTTGCTAAATTGAAAATGTTAAAATTCAAAGATATTAACACCTACTGCTGTGCCCTCTTTGTTTACAAATCTATCAATCACTTGCTTGACAGTAATTATTTCCAGTTCCGAAATAATCAGAGATACAACTTAAGGCACCCAGAGCTACTAAGACCACCCCCCATGCGCTCCTCTCAGTCCCAGACCTCCATAAAATATCACGGTGTGAAAGAACTTACCCCCACCCATCCGAGCAAAGACTACACTCCCTTCCTTTAAATCATCTCTTAAAAATATATACAATATTGTCAAAGTATTAATATTTCTTGTAATACCTACTACAGCTCCTCCCCGACTTACGACCTGCCTCAGTCGTTCCAAAATGTTGTCAAATTACGTTTTTTCAAGTCCCAACGTCAGTACACAGGCAAAAATTTTTTTTGTAATTCACTTTAAAATGGCTGACAAGCTCATTTGAGTTTTGTGGTGTTGAGAAGAGAATGAGACACCCATTTTAGATTTTCTATGTACAGTCGGCCTTTAACATTCGCGAGGGTTAGGTAACAGAGATACCCGTGAATGTTAAAAATCCATATACTATTGCTGCCCCCCCCCCCTAAATAACCCCTGGCCCCCCCATGTCCTTATTTACCGTATATACCTGTGTGTGTAGTTCGAGTTTTTAAGACCAAATTATTTGGCAAAAATTGGGGGTCGACCTCTAAACGGGTAATAGTTTCGTTAGGTTGAAAAATATTTACCAGTAACTACCAGTAAACAATGGAAACGATGCACCAATACACCACCAGCTGTGAGTGTCGGTACAGTTGCCAGGGCAGATCTCTTGCGAGCCCAAAGTAGCCAAATCCATGGTATGGTAGCACAGGACGATGTAAAACAAAGTATTCATTTATTAAAGTTAATTTATAGATACTGGACATAAATTTTTGTTCATTACATTTGAAACATCAATCTTTGTTAATTAAATTTGAACCAAGAGAAAACTACGATACTGGATTTTCATTAAAATATTACATCACAAGTATATTTTACCTTAACTGTGACTGAATGAATATATTCTCGGAAATAAATATGGAAATGTAATATTTTTGCTGGAATGACGTACATATTATAGTGGGAAGTGGGATAAAATCATGACGAAAGACTTTCGCTTTCTTTCGTTGTTCAAAATATTTTACCGTAATCGCTTTTCGAATGGTTTTCAGTTAAAAAACTGTTGTACTCGTACTGTATTACAATAATATTCTATCCTATCATTAGCCTTATAATCCCACAACTGAAAACCATTCAAAAAGCGACTACGGTAACATCTTTTGAACGAAAGAAAGCGAAAGTCATTGCTTTCGTCACTTTCCACTGTAATACGTACATCATTTCAGCAAAAATATTACATTTCCATGTTCTCAGAAATAAATGGTAGTTTTGTTGAAACGTAATGTACAGTATTTAACATTAAAATGCAAAAATAGCTATAAAAACAATTAATACACCCGTAATGTACTGGCTGGCACCTCCACTCGTCCCTGCTCCCGCCAGTCACCTCCACCCCGCTCTATCCCTCCGCCTCCTCCACATCGTCACTACTGTTATATTACAATAATATTCTATCCTAATTGATTTGAATAAATACTACGATACCATATTTCTGAATATTTTCATTAAAATCCATCCAAATCATTTTCCTTGCCATCAGCAGCACCAAACAGCTTCTCCCAGTCCTCTCCTTGAACAGGGCTAGAGGGTACGTGTTTTTCGAATCGTTTTCAATTAAAAAAATGTTACATCACACGTATATTTTACCTAAACTGCGCCTGAATGAATATATTCTTGGAAATAAATAGTAATTTTGCTGAAACGTGATGTATTTCAATGTAAAATAGGATAAAATACATGACGAAAACAAAAGACTTCACCTAACCTTCCAATCTTCAAGAGATGATACTTGTTTTTTTAATAGTTTTCGGTTAAAATACTGTTATATTACAATGATATTATATTCATACTGTGCTTGATATAATACATTCACGGAAATGTAATATTTTTGCAACTACAATGCTGATGTCAACACAAGTGTGGTTACAGCGAGACTGACTAAGTGAGGGAGAGCTATGCGTGTGTGTGTGAGGTTGCACGAGCGGGCGGTGTCCCGTGTTTGGTACACCGAGCGAGTTGAATGGCGCGCGATTTGAATGTACTTCAATTACTTCAATGTACAGA